GTATGCTCTTGTAAATGTTTAGATATGTTGGACGCGTCATTCAAATGAAAACTCAGCTGCGTAACGACGTGGTTTTAGTATGGCCAACATAAATATTATTTTTTCCGATGGTGATACAATCTCTCAGAGGACATCTAAATTGATATACGATGTTTTTTGCAACGCGTTAGTTGGTGGGGAAGTGTATATATATATATATATATATATATATATATATATATATATATGTGTGTGTGTGTGTGTGTGTGTCAGACGAGAACTCTATCTTGTTCCAAGAGTGATTGATAATATAGACTAGCATCCGGATATTCCCTATTTCCGGTTTTGCTGCCACTTAATCGCTAAAAAACCCTAATCCACACGTTTACATGCTATTTCCCTTTGATCAACGTGTATGCTGCTTAGAAGACCGAACTTCAAAAGGAAACATCAACCGGTTCATCAACCAAAAACACCTAAGATCATTCCCTTCTACCTGGCTGTCCATAGAATCAAAATATTAAACAAGTCTATAACAAAATTGATAAATAAAGAGGACACGATATGATCAAAACTAATCGATTATCACCCTAAAATTCCTAAAGCATTATAATCTACCAAAACAAAACAAGCAATAAAATAACATTACCATAAAGACATAAAACACCTGTTTGTAAATGTATTTGTATTCGGTGACTTTAATGCCTACCAGGTGGCTTAAATATTGTCACTGACCTCGCAGACATCCAAACCCTGAACTCTCAATCAATCACGCAAGTGATGAACTTCCCCACGAGTTTACCCAGTAACCCTGATGGACTCGCTTCTCTTCTAAATATCATCTTTACCTCTATCTCTGACTCATGTCCTACTATGCAGCTCTGCTCTTTTTGGCAACTCTGATCAGTAGTGTCTGTAAACGTCTCTTTCCGCTCGACCCCCACCAATCAAGAATCTCCTACCAACAGAATATCTTTCTCTTATCAACGAGCTGATTGCAACTCGTTCCATGATTTCCTTCGTGACCTCACTTGGAATTATGTTTTTAATCATCCTGTTCAAAAATGCGACTCTGAGGTCTCCTCATGGGTGAAAGCCGACAGCAATGCTTTCATTCCAGCAAAGAGATACCAAGTGAAATTAAGCTCATCTATTGTTTCAAACCTGTATGATCGGCTGATATAGCCCACAGGAATCACTTCTACTGGTTATACCAGAGCGTCAAGTCTGATTGCAACAGACGTCTCTTTGTCTATGCTCGTAATGAGTGTAAGCGTGTTCTCAATGGAGCAATGTTACTGTTTGCTGATAGAATGAAACAATGTATAGCATCTCGCAAGATCGGTTCTAGAGATTATTGGCGGCTCTACAAGAGTGTGCAGAACATCAAATCCTCAATCCCTCCCCTATTCAATCAATTCTAAGTCCTGACATCTACAACAGATAAGATTGAATAGTTTGCTTGGAAATCTCGTCCAATTCAACACTCGACTCATCTGGAGTAATCACACCTGACCCCCCCCCCTTAGAGCAGATGCTCTACTGAGTAATATGCGCATAACCCCGTCACTGGCTTCAAACATCATTTCTAAATTAAACTCCCATAAGGCAAGCAGTGGTGACGGGATCCCAGCCGTCGTTCGAAGGAGATGTGCTCCAGAGCTGGCTCCAGTTCTCTCCAAACACTATAACTATTGCCTCACTGCTTCTTGCTTTCTAGTTTGTCGGAAGTCCTCCTGTGTAGACATATCTGGAAGACATTTGACAGGGTTTAGCACGCTGGTCTTCTACGAAAGCACCAGGGCTACGGTATTACAGGACGATTGTTTGATTTAATCTACTCGTTCCTATCAAATCGTGAAGTGACGGTCGTTTTGAACGGGGTCGCTTCCAGATCCTTTTACCCGAATGCAGGTGTCCCCAAAGTTCTATCCTGGTCCCTACGCTGTTTCTGACCTTCATCAGTGATCTTCCTGGTATCAGCAGTTCTCAAGTAGGCATTTATGCAGATGACACTACCATTTAATCCTGTCTCAATAACAAATCCGTCAGAGCTGACAAAGTAAACTTGGATGATGCTCTTAAAAAGGACTTCCGATTACTGGTTAACTGGGGCAAGAAGTGGTTTGTAAATTTGAATGCCTCCAAAACAAAACTGCTCTCATTTAACCACCATAGAGAAACATTTTCTGTCTGCCATCAGCTTGTCTAATGCTAAACTCCTGGAGAGCAATACAGTGTAACTTCCTGGGCTCAATTTTTCAACTGTATTGAAGTGAAGCGATTACACCGAATCAATAGCTGTATCTACTGCAAGGAATGTTGGGTCACTGTGTCGTGTCAAAACGTTTTTTCTTTTCATAGTCCATCTTGCACATTTATAAATCTACCATTCACCCATGCATTGAATACTGATGCCATATCTGGTCTGGTGCTCCTGCTATTCATCTTGAGATTCTTGACAAAATCCAAAGAAGATTCAGTTTTGGCATCTCGACTTCAGCCACTTTCTCACCGATGTAACGTGGCTTCCTTCGGTCTTTTCTACAACTATTTTTACGGCAACTGCTATGACGAGCTTTCTTCCCTGGTGTCCCAACTACATGAATTTAAGCGTGCTACTAGATTGGCATCTAGGTCTCACCCTTTTACGTCTGAAATAATTAAATATAACCGCCACTTCTACTCCAACAATTTCTTTTCTCCTTTCCGTTTTCTAACTTCTCTGACAACTACAATCTTCAAAAGTTTAAATGCAACATCAATCGCCATCGTCTATCTTCTTGAATTCTGTTCATATTTTATCCTTTCTTCAAACCTCCCCTCTATACCTAGTCTCTTCTTCCACTTTCACTCTCTGTAATCACCTGCGTACTAGTGGCATTCTTGCCTTGCTTGGCGTGATATGATTAAAAATATATATAGGATGGAGAAATACTAAAAATCTATATTTTGGTGTGGAGCAGGAGAGGCTGAAATCAGGTATGCCTGATCTAGTATAGAGGCAAAAAGGTGGATATCAACCAATGTGGAATAAAGCTAATAGTAGACCGTGAACATCAAAGAAGGATAAGATGGATGAAATAATCTGTTTTAACAAACCTCATCAGTAGACATAACATAAAAATGAGATCCTCTGATAAAGAAAAAAATGAACACTCAAAAAGTCTGCCAAAGTATAGACATTCGGGATAATTCCTCAAAATTATACTACTGTGTTTTCTTAAAATCACATGACCTAAAAGATAAAAGGTTTGGTTAAAGTATATTTGATTTCCTGGCCAATTGGATAAAGCAGAAAAGTTATATACCCTGACTCAGTGGGAGAAACAACAACATAAATGTACACAGAGGAGAGAGAATTTACTGATACGAGTTATCGCCCTATCGTCGAATGAAAACAATTTAGTCACGTGTATTGAATAAAGGGTTTGATCCAAATTCCAAATTGACCAAATACGACGAAAGACGCTTAGAAAAGGGCGAAGATTATAGCAGCCAAAACCGCCGAGCGTAGAACAACAAAACTACCAGCTTGTTTTCAATACATATAATAATTTTACAAGCGTTTGAGTGACATTTTATGTAAATTTATAAAAGAAAAGGAGGTTATGATGATTTAATAGGAGTAGATAGATTTGCCTATCGTCCAGTTAATACTCCAACCTGCTCTTTTGAACAGGAGTAGAGGTTTATGCCTTGGTTCCTTTTTAGGATTGGGCATCCGGTTCCTTCTAAAGTCTTTTATTTTTTACTTTCAGTACCCCTTTGCGTCTTAGTGAAATTATCGCCTTGCTTGGGGTGAATTGATTAAAAAGAAATTCTGTCTGAATTTCTGGGATGAGTAGTTGTCATTATTTACACGCGAACTATCATCTCCATCTTTGTTGTTATCACAACGTTTCGGGTGTTGTGCCCTCCGGCCATTATCAGGAAATTGCTTACATTATTTACGCGGACTATTCTCCCTAACAATAAAGATGGGGATATCGAAAAGCACAACGGTTGGAAATTTGTGATAACAACAACAACAAAGATGGCGACAATAGTCCGCGTGGGAATAATATAAATAGAGATTATGTGGTTAATTATTTTTTGTTATCGTCTCTCCCCATCGAAGAAATATCTCTGATCCTCACTTTAGATCTATTTTAATCATGATCGACCTTGAAGTTTTAATGACACAGAGATTTACGTGATAAATATCGATCAGAAGGGATCATTTGAAATCTCAGCTTTGGGGACAAAACTATTTCTGGACACAAATCCTTGAAGGCCAAGTAGAGAGAGAAAAAAGACATAGAGTAAAGAGAGAGGGATAACAGCCAATTAAATTGAAAGGATTGCTCGTTGACCGAGTAAAGGAGGAGTGTGTGTGGAATTTCTGAGCCAATCACCGCAAAAGGAGGAGGCATAAAAAAACAAAAATCGATTTTTTTCAGCCTTGAATGTCTGGCCGCACAAATTTTCAAGGTGGATAGAGAAACACCAACGATTTTTGTTAAGGCTCAACATTCAGGGTGAAGGGTCAAGTTAAAAGAATTAGAGTGGAGCTAAAATTAATGCTGTCCTTTTAGAGGATGGAAGGTAGTCATATAAAGAAAGGGTTTTGCCTTCTAAATCCGACAGTCTTTGAACTTTTCCAATGACAAGCCATATACAATGCTAGAAAGCAAAAAGACTCTTAATAATGAGAAAATAAAAATTATATTCTTAATAAAAATTTTTATTGACAATTTATCAATAATAATAATAATAATAGTGTAACTATTCATGTATTTTACTCCGTAGCGATAAAATCGCCCGTAGTCACCTAATTATTAGCAACCTTATATCGCCAATGAGTGAGGGTGATTCGTTCTATTATGTCTTATCAACACTTTGCAGGTTATTTAAAGCCATGAAATATTTATAGACCGTAAGAGTGTCTGCGTGTAAGTGAATATAAAGGACTCAACGAGAATAAGAACTCGGCTCTCCGATTAACAATTCCGAGCCATTACACCAACCGTACACCCAAGCTTACAGCGTTTAGTATTCTCAAGTGGTCACCCATCTAAGTACTAGCCAGGTTCGATGTTGCTTAATTTTAGTGATCGCACGGGAGCCGGTGTTTGAATATGATGTGGCTAAGCTGCCAATGAGTGAGAAAATACGTTGTTATGGTAACACGATGTATAATGAGTGCCACTCGAAGCGAGCAAACATTTTACCATGACATGAAAAGTTGCTGCCATATCTGGTCTGGAGCTACAAAGTCCTAACTTGCTAGTCGTGATAGAATCTAAAAGTATCTACGCGGCCAGTTACGATGAATGGATGACCCCTCGAGAAGGCACCGTGCCTTGAGAGAATATTGAGCCTCAAACTCACACCTGGCCTCAAGTGGAACTCTTATATACGATCCATCGATAAAGACGTGGTTTGGTTTCGTTTGTTTTACGGCATATCAACCTCAATGGGTTATTTAATGCTGACAAGATTTTTATTGTTGGTAATATTTTTTTTTTCAAATGTATTGCTGGTAATTTTTTTCCTTCAAAAATCTATTTCTGGTAATAATTTTTTCTTCAAAAAATTATTGCTGGTAATAACTTTTTTTTAACAAAGTATTTCTGGTATTGGAACCTATTTGTACACTTTCATAGTGTTTTGACCCCAGTTTGGGGGTTAACTATTTGCTCATAGGTGGGACCCTAACAGATGCTACCTACCCGAGTCAGAGTGGATCTGGGAACACCAGCAATTAAGAGTTGGTTCCACGCTCCTCAAAACCTTCTGATCAGAGGCCTTGCTGTTGGACGTAGTTTATCGTCTTACCCTGGACGCGGATGTAGTTTATCGTCATGCCCGGGACGGACTAACGACGTGGTTAAAATGGTTGGCTCCCTATACCACCCCAGTAAGCACCTGAATCATACTATCCTCTAATTTTATGAGACAGATCAAACCGATAATGGAGTATTGTTGTCATATTTGGTCGGAAGCAGCCCTGTCTTCTCCCGGGTCCTTGTGGACAACGAATTATTTTCCACCATCAAACCTCTCTCTTTCAGACACACACACACACAGGCGGGATGTGGAGAACCTATAACAGCTCAATGTGAAACTTGGACGAACTAGCTTCCTTGGTTCTGCCAGGTCTAATCTTCACGGCTAGGACCCGCCATGCTACGCACATTATAGCAAACCACCCACATTCCCTCCCTATTTTATCGGTGAGAAGTAACTTCCACTCGAACAGCTTCTTCCTGCGAACGACTGCTCTGTGGAACAGACTTCTAATAGTATATTTCCCCGGTCACTACATTCTTAACCTTCCATTGTTATCCGTATAAACTACCCCTTAACGTAATCCTCTACCTCGAGGAATCCCCGGGTCGTCTTGTACAGGGTGAACCTTAATGTAAAAAGTAAAAAAGTCTAGACTTTTACAGCTAAAAACTGCTATACCATCTAAACACAGTCAAACTATTCTTATTCCCTTTGTAATCCATTGGTATGAATGAAGTTCCACTCGGACAGCTTCTTCCCTAGAACCTCTATGGTTCCTTGATTGCTACAATCTTAAATTCTTCAAGTGTTAACCGTTACCTTCCCTACATATTCTCATAAACATCACTTTTTACCTGCTACTCTTACTGCTCATACAACAACACCATTCCATATCCTTCTACCTTGACTGGCTCTTGTGCCTTGTAATGGGTGAACAAAAAAAAGCAACGTAATTTAATTTTTTTAATTAAAAATGATAATACATATTAAATGATACCAATATGGAAATACAGATAAATATATTTAATTTCCTTTTTCTGAAAATTAAACAGATATTGAAATATAGCCGTGAATGTTTTCACGGTTATTTTCACTAGAATTATAATAAATAAAAATTTTAGTATATCTGGCAACTGATTTTATCAAAATAATTTATTGTATTTACAAACAATGAATACATATCTATGTTTATGCTACAAAAAAATCATTGGTAATTGTTGAAATTTCCAACCACGATTTGAATCTGAATCAAAGAACTTGAGAGGCAAATGCACAAACTAAAGATGTCAGGCACTAAGTATGTCAGTATCACAACAAAAAGTAAAGGAAAAAAATGGTAAAAAGAGACAAGTCAGTATTTTAGCAGAAATAAAAAAAAAAAAAAAAATGGAACCCCATGTTTGAGGGAGTGCTGAAGAGATATCCAGACCAATTTCTAAAATTGAATTATCAACATTTGTGGGGAATCATTTCTTGATTGGACCGAAAATCTAACTCTCGTAACGTGACGTCATGAAATCATTCGGTAGGGGGGGATACAGGAGATTATTTATCATAAATAAAATATGAAAGATTTTGATTGTGGAAGTTAATCACAAAATCTGTTTTTAATTTTATTCCGTTTTCGCATATTAGATCAAGGAACCGTTATTATATATTATTCTCAGACTAGGAATCAAAATAGTTTATCTTTCTATATGAATCTGACAAAAAAGTGATAAAAAAATTAATTCAAAGTAAAGTTTGTATCGTTATACTGTCTGATAGTTTCTTTTTTTTATTAATATTTCCTTAGTCAGTCATGGACAACATTTTCCGACCAGTGAGCCGCATGTGATATGGCTCATCATAACGCTACTACTATAAATATGTACAGTAATTTTGCATTGAAGCGGTCTCAGTCATGTTCGCTACATAAGAACATACGTATCAGCGTCTATCATTTTTTTTTTTTTTTTTTGGAGGGGGGATATTTTTTTATAATTAACAAAGCGAAGTCTTCGTACAATATTAAAACAGATGACAGTGTGATTAGTACACGCTGCTTCTTATGATTAATTTCTAATTTATTCACTTGAAAAAAAAAATTAAATCAAAAATATATTTCTTCTCCATGGAAAAAGTAAAAGATATTTACACGTCTGATCTTCCTTAGTGAAAATTGCCAACGGTTTAACATAATGAAAACGTTACATTCGACGAAAGTTTTCTAATTCAAGAAACCTTGCACTTAATCATTGTTTATGTGTGCTGTGATGTATTTGAGAGTGTGTGAGTGAACAAGTGAGAACGAAACAAAACAAACCAAATTTTAAGAAATATTAATTTCCTCGTAAAATAAGGCGTGTTACTCAAAAAGCCAAACGGACCGCAGGTCGACAGCGGGCCGCAGTTTGTCCAAGACTTACTTAGCAAGATATTCTGTTACATCTGTGTGTTTAACTAAATTGCAGACGCGAAAACTATCATTTCATTATATATATATATATATATATATATATATATATATATATATATATATATATATATATATATATATATAAAAAATATGAAGACGGCTGGTGTCGGACCAGCTTGAAATAGACTATATCCATGTGAGGGAATTTTGTTTTTTGCTGTAAAAAATATATTTGCTCTGTTATAATAAACACATTGAGCTCTCTGTGGATCAGATTTAATATTACTAGGATCCACCTGGATTATATACCAACGGATCAATTACCTGTACTATATATATATATATATATATATATATATATATATATATATATATGTGTGTGTGTGTGTGTGTGTGTGTGTGTGTCATTCGCTGACAGTACTGTTTCGCTGTATCACAGCTCCTCAGTGCGACTAGACATCCGAATGTCTCAAGCCAGGATTGAAACCAAACCGATTTGGTGTGAGTCAGAGTTTTACCACTGAACTATCTTCATTCGACAGAGTGAATCTAGCGTATTGTTTTTATGAATGTAAACAAATGCCAATCAGCCGGAGAGCTCTATTCATTTTACTGAAGAGCTTTGAGCTTTGCATTAGCGCAGGTGGCTGTTGGTTATAAAATTAGCTTGTCACTCAACAGTGCTCAACTGAAATATATTTTCAAGAGCTAAATTATGTATCTATGCGTTGTCTGAAAGGATTTTCCTTACGTATATATATGTATATATACTAGCAGCATGGTCCGGCGTTGCCCGTGCTTGATTCAAAAATCGTGCAACTCATACAGCAATCGCTATCACTTGACTTAAAATATTTTTGCCCTTCCTTGCCTTTAAAGGAGTGCCATTTGCCGTGCTGATGTTGCTACATGCCTTACTTCTTGTCTATCTCACACTGCAATTTTTTTCTAAGCTCTATACTAAACATTAAATCTGTTACGAAAAAAGAACTAAACAAAATGAACACAAAACGATCAGCTTTAAAAAAGGACTCGTAACTGGAAAAACCGAATGAAAAAAGAATGTTAACAACAAATACTTTTTCACACCCAACCCAGTTCTGCGGATTCAGAATCAACGTTGAGTTTAAGCAAGCGAATGAGCCAATTGGAGTAAAGTGCCATGCAGATTTAAATTTTTCACACTTGTGACGAATGCAGCTATCGATTTTTTTTTTTTTTTTTTTGCATGCTAGCATGCTAGTTAACATTCGTGTCAGTCAGGTTTTGGCTCTCACGCTGGCCAATAGAATCTTCCTGCCTATTCAGGGCAGCCAGCTATAGGCTCTCACTCTTGCCAGTACAAAATGGCCGCAAACTACATGAAAACTGCCGTAGAAGCATGAAAAAATCGATTATTTCCACTATCGATGGGAGTTGGGAAATGCAAAGTCGGTCTTGGCCTTCCCTCTAACTTGGAGCATGTGCATGTAAATTTGGGTGCAAATCCGTCGAAAATTGCGGCCGTGCATTCGTTACACGCATACACACATCATGCCTTTTATATATATATATATAACAACAGACACTTAACATTGCTTACTTCGACAAAGCAATTCGGCCATCTTGGCGATGTTTTGCTCACTAAAACAAAAACTCCAGTATGAACGAAATTATTATTACTACTACTTCTCCTATACAACACAATATAGGAAACAAAAACAAATTATACTAACAGTAAAAATTACCTCCACACACACCTGAGTTAAATTATTAACCGGAAGTGCATTGGACAATAATTATTACACAGTTTCTAAATTGTTTTATTTCTCATAAAAGCAAAATTGTAAGAACGGTAGAAAAACTAAAAAGAAAAAAACATACAAAATATTCCTTGTCTTTCATAATGAAACATGTATAACAGAAGAACTGCTGCCCAAATATACCATATATATTTTACATAGTAGTAGCATAAAAAAGTGTTTTTGGAACTCATGATTGCTATTTATGACTGGTTGTTTTTGCTAGATTTTAAGACTGATGTAATGTTAATTTCCCATTTTAGTAAAAATGTTTTGTTTAACGTTTGCAGTAAGTTTAAGCATCAACGCACTCGGAATGTTGTTTTTTTTTTCCAGAAATTCAATCTAAAAACCAACCTTTAAAAACAACAGAAGAAAAAGCGACGAAGTATGCAAAATACCCCAACTACATTTGTGAATTTCCTAGCTAAATTAGTGTTTTTAAAAAAAGTCATTAACCGATGGAATGATCTGAACTCTGTTGTACATCTTAGGAGCATTGTTAAAGTCAACAAGCTAAAGGAGAAAATCAGCAGTCAATCACTGAAACCTCCAGACGAGTGGAGCGAACAATTCCGCAACTCCGGAGCTCAGATGCTGTTGAATTTAACATGTCAGCTAAGTGACAAATTCTAATTATATATATATATAGATAGATAGATATAGATAGATAGATAGATAGATAGATAGATAGATAGATAGATAGATGGGGGAGGGAGAAAGAATTCACAAAAGGTGATCAATTTCCCCCCATTTGACGGCTTCCGAATTTTTGCTTCGGGTTTATCTAAAGAGTGTTTATTTGTATGTCACTGTGCATCCCATAATGACCCAACGCAGCTGACAAAAGAAAAACTGAGAATGATCAGACCAGAACTTTGTGGAACAAGAATAAAAAAAAATTCAATAGATATTAACGAGTTATCCCAGTCAGAATAAATACCGACGTGTGCAAGGCAACTGATCCCAGCTTAGTGTTTCAATCGAAATAGTGATAGGTGAAAACTATCAATATTCAAATGCAATTTAGCATCCTATTTACGCATGCTTACCAAGTTCTATTTGCTCAGACAATTAAAGCAGAAGAAATAGAATAATAGTTGCTGATATTGGGTTAAGAATCTATCCAGAGAGAAAAGTAATAAATTTCTTTTTTGCCTCTAATCTCGGACTTATTGAAGGAATGAAAAGGCCAAGGATAAAGAAGCTTGAGTCATCCCTGGTATCCCAACTGATGTCTGTTTTAACTTCCTTGAGATCCTTTATCGTTTTCTTTCGGGGTTTCTAACATGTTTTTTTTACATAGGATATTGATTGGACATAAAACCTGCGATGAATGACAGTTGATCTGAGTCATTTGACCTAAATAAAGTTCTGCGTGTCAATTGGTCATCAAGTAACACGTCTCTTTGTTTATAAGGCTCTATTGGTGAATAGATTTGTTAGACACATTCTCTGAACGTTTACTACTTTTATATTTATATACTAACAGAATTAAACAATATTATGAGAGAATCTTTATCAAGTTTGTGCAAAAGTTCCCAGCGTTGTTTTTGCTTTTTTGGAAAAATAGAGAATGGAATTTTTTTTTTGTTTTTTTTAAATAAAAATAAATAAATAGTAAATAAAATTTTAAAAAATGCTGGAAACTTTTGCGCACAATTCATAATTTATTTTTCTTTGATATTTTTCTTTACAGTAAGGTTCTCCCTGTACAAGGCCACTCGAGGTAGAAAATTATGTTAAAGGGTAGTTTATATTGACAGGAAGGGAAAAGAGCGGTTGACTCTCGGCTTGAACAGGTTAAGATTGCCATGACCGGGGAAACATCCTCTTGAGAGTCGGTTCCACTGAGCAGTGGTTCGCTGGAAGAAGCTGCTTGAGTGGAAGTTACTTGACACTGATGGAAGACGAAGAGAATGTGGGTGGTATGCTACTATGTAAGTGGCATGGCGGGTTCTAGCCCTGAAGATTAGACCTTGCGGAACCAAGAAATGTAGTTTGTCTGAGTACTTACCATGGAAGGAGCGATGGAGCAGTGAGAGACTCGCTACATCCCGCCTGTGAGAGAAAGGTTGGCCGTTGGAAAATAATTCTTATCGAATAAAGACTGGGAAATGCTTTTAAACGCTGTCAAGACCGTGTGGACTGGGTAGCTCCCACGTGAATATGACAACAGTACTCCATTTTCGGTCTGACCTCTCTCTTATAAAGCTAGAGAATCATATGAGGAGACAGGTACTGCCTGGAGCGGTACAGGGAACCAATCATTTTACCTGCATCTTTAGCGATGGATCGCACATAGGAATTCCATTTGAGGTCTGGTGTGAGTCTGAGGCCCTGTATTCTCTCAAGGCACAGAGCCTCCTCGAGGTAACATCCATTCATCGTGACCGAATTTTATTTTATATTTTTGGCTGAAGATTAAGTCTTTTATAATATATTACGTTGCCATTGTTTTGGAAAAGCAAAATGTCTATGTATACCGACGTATTATAGAAATGCAATCGGACCTCAACATCCACGGAATCGTCAACTGTGGTTTCACGTATCCGATTTGACTTCATAAGCAAAATTACGTGTTCAAAATTTTTATTAAACAAAAACAATTTCCTGTCTGAATTTCTGAAATGGGAGTTATTGTTATTTACAGTTTACATTCGGACTATTGATCCTAACTTTATCACAACGTTTCGGCCGTTGTGCCCTCCAATCTTCATCAGGTGTATATCGATCTGGGTAACCTATGGGGGATTCTGAGCTAAATGCTTTATGTCTAGGGATATGCTGTTTATTTCTTATTTTTAATATTGCTAAGTTATTGTTCGCTTTGTTTCAACTGTGTCCAAGTACACACTGCCCGGTCTAGGGATTGAACTCACAATTACTATGTCACCAAATTCACGAACCAACTCTTTAAAGCACTAGGATTAAATATGTCCTGTGAGTATCAAGTTTTCTAAACTCTCTTTCCTCATTATGTGACCGAGAACTTTCAGATGCCTCTCTGATATTAAGTATAATTTGTTTTTGCTTCCATTTTCTATAAAACTTTGTTGTTGCCCACAAGTTCAGTCCATGGTATACTCAGTATCTTTCTGTAGAGCCATATTTCTGTTGCTTCAGATCTCTTCTTCATCTGTGGTGAAATTCTCCAGCATTCACTTTCATATTGGAGGACTGATTTTACACAACATTTATGTGCTCTTTTCTTCGTTTTTAACGAAATTTACCTGTTTCTTAATACTTTGCTTAGATTTTGGAAAGCATTTTTCGTTATTCAAACGCGCCAGCTGATCTCGGTGTCCAACTATCCGTCATCTGTTAAAACACTTCCCAGATATTTAAATTTTTTATTTGCTTGATTTTGGTATCTCCAATAACGTCTTGTAAAATACAAAATTTTGTGGTCAGTTGTGTAATAGAATTAGACAGAATCAGTGCGGTTCGTAAAAGATACTTGAGCAAGCAACGCCATATTTATGCTCAGAAAGTGCAATACAAATGCAGAAGTTTTATAGATTACGAAAGGTGTTCGATAAAGTACACCGGAAAGATCTGTTGGAACTGCTCAATAAACTTGACATATTTAGGAATGATATTAAAATAATCAACCGCTGGCAATCGGATAGAAAATGAGTTCAGGAGATATGCAAAAGGGGTGTAAGACAAGGATGTGTCTTCTCGCCGGACTTATTCAACTTATTCAGCGAGGCAATTCTAAATGAATTAGATGTCCTACCAGGATTCATTATTGGCGGTTACAATCTTAACAATATGCAGATAACAGTGTTAAAAATAGTCACACTATACTTACCCTTCCACACAATGTGCAGCCGTTACGATCCAAAGTGGGTGGACTAAGACCCCACCACATCTGTGCCAAGGTTGACCAGCAGATATAATCTGTAAAGATACTTGCCAAGGCCATCGTCCAGGTAGGCTTGGTTGTCCCCCGATTATGTACGACGAGGAGATAATTTCACCACAATATTCTGTAAAGAGAAATACAGAAAATATTATATGCGAATAATAAAATATAAGTGCCATCAGACAGTCATGACGCCATATCCCTTAACACGTAGACAGTCATGACGCCATATCCCTTAAGGCGTAAACAGTCATGACGCCATATCCCTTAAGGCGTAAACAGTCATGACGCCATATCCCTTAACACGTAGACAGTCATGACGCTATATTCCTTAAGGCGTAAACAGTCATGAGGCCATATCCCTTAAGACGCAGACAGTCATGACGCTATATCCCTTAAGACGCAGTCATGAGGCCATATCCCTTAAGACGCAGACAGTCATGGGTCGCGACATTCTTTAATATCGGTAAACTCATACTCATAATTATGTCTGTTCTTAGGAAAGACAATGATTTGGGATCCAATTTATTTCCAAAAGATTTTGAATTCAGATTTATCCATCTATATCGGATATACTGATATGAAATCCCAGTTTGCTCTGCTTTCTAACCCATAGCTGGAGAGCAGAAATGAGGGCTTCGTACCTTTTCCAAGGAAGTCAGTGTACGCACAAACTTCTTTCTTAGAATTTCAACTTGACACACCGATTCCATTTAATTTCCTGTGTTGTCAACAAAGTGAAAAAGTCTTCTTGTGATGCGTTTGTCCTTGATGACTTGATCGGACTAAAGTGATGTTTATGGTCATGCGCACAAAGAAGAGGCGACGCGAAACTTTTACCACTCCTTCATATATATATATTCCTAAAATTGTTCTTGTTTTATAAGATGGTATCGGAAAGTTGCCGAATGTTTCTAGTCACGTAAAAGACCCGAGAATTTGCTCAACTATGGCCCTCATGAAAGTTTCAATATTTAGAGCAATAACTGAATTGACGGGATAGCAGGAAGCTCACTGGTAGACTGACTCAATAGATTGGGGTACCAATGACAGCTACGCTTGAATTTCTGCTGATCGTTACAATCACAATGTCCGGGAACATTCTGATACAACGTTGCATATGTGTTATCAAAAGCAAAGCATTACAGTCACTAGCACACAAGGGGTTACAGGGTGGGGAGGAATAAGGAACAAAAATATTAGTAATGAGGAGAAAGAGCAAATTGGAGGACAGTTGATAGTGATTGACATTTCATTTAAAATTTTGCAGATTAAAGGCCGGAAGGGAGTTACCATGCGCAAGAAATGCAAGATGAGAAATATATATAATAAAAATAATATATTTTTGTTCCTCGCCGTTCGATGCCACTCTGAATTTCGTGCACGTCAAGTTGATGCACTCCGTCGGCTCAGATATATTCCACATAACATTTGGCACGTCAGTGTGTATGTAGAATAATGATGTAACTAGCTGTTTTTATACAGGAAATATTTGCTCTTCAATGGCCGAACAGTGTTACTGTTGGTTGAAATTTAGAAACTCATTTTGTTAAACAAGGAATTATACTTAAATATCTTTATAATTCTTATAGGCGTTTCATATTAATTTTTTTTTTTTAGTGTGGAAAGTTAACTACTTGATTATATCATTATTTTCTGTTACATGTATAACGCATTTTTGCTGTTGCTGAGAAGTTTTCGAATGATGTTAGATGGGATTATATTAGAAAATTCTCTGAAGGTCTCCTCAACACTTCGAAGTTTTAAAAATAATAAAATATAAAATACTAATCTATATTAAATCTATTAGTTTAGTGAGAAAATTTATTTTAAAAATGTATAAGTCCATTGTAAAATTCACTGTGTTTACAAAAAATAATATATAAATTCAAACCAGTCCTCATAATATGAGGCGGAACTGAAACAATTATTTCCAGGGGAGATCCCTTGGTCGAACAGAAAAGATTTAGCACTCCCAGTATATCATAGTACAGATATCAAATGATGAAATAAAGCTACTAATAAAATCTAAGTTAAAAAAAAATGGGTTTTTAGAATAAAGCAAGTTTCCTGAGACATCCATTTTTTTTTAATAACTTTTTCAAGGATCGCGTTTCAGCACAATAACGAACTGTATACTAACATTCATTGAGTTTATTTTTATTCCTTTATTAATTTCTACAGATATGATACAAGCAACTTCGTTTTGAGTGTTTGTTTTTTATTTTATTATGTTCCAGTTAATTACATCTCAACATGTCGCAGGCGTTAAATTAGCGCTCGTAATCAGTAGTGAAATGAAAGCATAATCTATACGACACACGAGACAACACAAACGAACACTAAACAAAATGTAACAATTTAAAAAGAAAAAAGAATGAGTCAAGTTCTCGCCTTTCTACAGCAAATATGACATCTCAATCTCACAATTGCCTGCACGATAAATTATGCTCAACTTTTTTTTAAAGAAATTATTGGAATAAAATTTCAACAGTAAAGTCTTTCTAAATATTCCAGTAATTTTTAATAATTCCATGATCCTCCATGACTCCCCACAAATTCCTCTTTATTATCTGAATTGTCGAGCATTCTTGGGAAAAATATTGTTGATGTTTTCCTTTGCCTTCTCCGCGTTTTGGAATTTAGAGTTTTCCTTCTTTTAGAATGGTTGCTACACAAGATTAGATAACACAGTCTACCCTGTCATTCAACCCATAGATAGCGAGGGAAGTGACAGATTCATGCCTTTCTCAAGATCATTTTTGTGAAATAGAACGCGATTTCTGTCTTTGTACTCATCTTCCCGATTCTGCGTTGAAAAGCGAAACTCGAGTAGCACTGGCAGCTCGGTCAATGAATGTCGAATGTTTCCTTATAAAGAAACGGATAATGTTACCAATACCATACTTAAAACAGAACTTTTATATTTGTTTCTCGACACTAAATTGAATACGGCGATAATTGTTCATTCCTTCCATGAAATGCAAAACGTTAAAAAGATAAAATCTTTAGTAAAATTGCAAAAAAGGAAATTTGAAAAAGATGAAGAAAAAAAACAGAAACGGCAAGAAGAACGAGAGAGAGAAAGGGGGAGCGAAAGACAAGAAGAGTGAAAGGGGAAAGGGAGAGCGAAAGACGAGTTAAAGGGGAAAAGGGAGAGCGAAAGACAAGAAGAGTGAAAGGGGAAAGGGAGAGCGAAAGACGAGTTAAAGGGGAAAAGGGGGAGCGAAAGACGACAACAAGAGTTAAAGCGTAGATGAGGGAAAGAGAGCAAAAAACGAAAGGAGAGCGAAAGACGACAAGAGTGAAAGGTGGAAAAGAGAGCGGAAAACGTTAAAGAGAGTGAATGAGGACAAAAATTAAAGGAGAAGAAGGAGAGCCGAAATCGACAAAAATAATGAAAGCGGGAAAAGGAAAGCGAAAGATGTCAAGAAGATTGAAAGCGCGAAAAGGAGAGCAAAAGCGATCAACAGTGTAAGGGAAAAGTAAGGAAGAAAGACGACAAGAGTGAAAGGTGGGAAAGGACAGCGGAAAAAGGCAAGAAATTAAAAGGGGGAGCAAAAGACGACAAGAAGAGTGAAAGGGTAAAAAAAGGAGCGAAAGGGGAACAGAGGGAGCGAAAGACAAGAAGAGTGAAATGGGAAAATGGGGAGCGAAAGACAAGAAGAGTGTAAGGAGAAAAGGGGGAGCGAAAGACAAGAAGAATGAAAGGGGAAAAGGGGAGCGAAAGACAAGAAGAATGAAATGGGAAAATGGGGAGCGAAAGACAAGAAGAGTGAAAGGAGAAAAGGGGGAGCGAAAGACAAGAGGAAAATGAAAAAAGGAAAAAGGGGGAGCGAAAAGACAAGAAGAATGAAATGGGAAAAGGGGAGCGAAAGACAAGAAGAATGAAATGAAATGAAAACAAGAAGAAAAAGGAAAAGCGAAAAGACAAGAAGAAAATGAAATGGGAAAAGAGAGAGAGCGAAAGAGAAGAAGAAAAAAATGGGAAAAGAAGAAGCGAAAGAAAAGAAGAAAGAAATGGGAAAAGAATGAAATGGGCGAAAGACAAGAAGAGTGAAAATGGGAAAGAGAGAGCAAAAGACAAGAAGAAAGAAATGGGAAAAGAGAGAGCGAAAAAGACAAGAAGAAAGAAATGGGAAAAGAGAGAGCGAAAGACAAGAAGAAAGAAATGGGAAAAGAGAGAGCGAAAGACAAGAAGAAAGAAATGGGAAAAGAGAGAGAAAAAGACAAGAAGAAAGAAATGGGAAAAGAGAGAGCGAAAGACAAGAAGAAAGAAATGGGAAAAGAGAGAGCGAAAGACAAGAAGAGTGAAATGGGAAAAGAGAGAGCGAAAGACAAGAAGAAAGAAAAAAAGAGAGAAAGACAAGAAGAATGAAATGGGAAAAGGGGGAGCGAAAGACAAGAAGAGTGAAAGGAGAAAAGGGGGAGCGAAAGACAAGAAGAGTGAAATGGGAAAAGAGAGAGCGAAAGACAAGAAGAGTGAAATGGAAAAAGGGGGAGTGAAAGACAAGAAGAGTGAAAGGGGAAAAGGGGGGAGACAAGCAGAGTGAAATGGGAAAAGGGGGAGCGAAAGACAAGAAGAGTGAAAGGAGAAAAGGGGGAGCGAAAGACAAGAAGAGTGAAATGGGAAAAGAGAGAGCGAAAGACAAGAAGAGTGAAATGGGAAAAGAGAGAGCGAAAGACAAGAAGAAAGAAATGGGAAAAGAGAGAGCGAAAGACAAGAAGAAAGAAATGGGAAAAGAGAGAGCGAAAGACAAGAAGAAAGAAATGGGAAAAGAGAGAGCGAAAGACAAGAAGAGTGAAATGGGAAAAGAGAGAGCGAAAGACAAGAAGAGTGAAAGGGAAAAGGGGGGGAAAAGACAAGAAGAGGAAATGGGAAAAGGGGAGCGAAAGACAAGAAGAGTGAAAAGAGAGGAAAAAAGACAAGAAAAAGAAATGGGAAAAAGACAAGGAAAGACAAGAAAAAGGAAAAGAGAAGAGAAAGAAAAGACAAGAAGAGGAAATGGAAAAAGGGGGAGTGAAAGACAAGAAGAGTGAAAGGGGAAAAGGGGGGAGACAAGCAGAGTGAAATGGGAAAAGGGGGAGCGAAAGACAAGAAGGGGGAAAGGAGAAAAGGGGAGAAATGGGAAAAGAGACAAAAAGAAAGAAGAAAGAAATGGGAAAAGAGAGAGCGAAAAAGACAAGAAGAGTGAAATGGGAAAAGAGAGAGCGAAAGACAAGAAGAGTGAAATGGGAAAAAGAGAGAGCGAAAGACAAGAAGAAAAGAATGGGAAAAGAGAGAGAAAGACAAGAAGAAAGAAAAAAGGGGAAAGGGGGAGAAAGCAAGAAAGAAAGAAATGGGAAAAAGGGGAAAAAAGACAAGAAGAGGAATGGAGAAAAGGGGAGCGAAAGACAAGAAGAAATGAAATGGGAAAAGAGAGAGCGAAAGACAAGAAGAGGAAATGGAAAAAGGGGGAGGAAAAGACAAGAAGAAAGAAATGGGAAAAGGGGGAGACAAGAAGAAAGAAATGGGAAAAAGGGGAGCGAAAGACAAGAAGACTGAAAGGAGAAAAGGGGAGCGAAAAAGACAAGAAGAAAGAAATGGGAAAAAGAGAGAGCGAAAGACAAGAAGAGGAAAATGGAAAAAGGGAGGAAAGACAAGAAGAAGAAATGGGAAAAGAAAAGGGAGCGAAAGACAAGAAGAGAGTGAAATGGGGAAAAAGGGGGAGCGAAAGACAAGAAGAGGAAATGGAAAAAAGAAAGGGAGGAAAGACAAAAAGAGTGAAAGGGGAAATGGGGAAAACAAGCAGAAGAGGAAATGGGAAAAGGGGGGAGCGAAAGAAAAGAAGAGTGAAAAAGGAGAAAAGGGGAGCGAAAGACAAGAAGAGGAAATGGGAAAAGAGAGAGCGAAAGACAAGAAGAGGAAATGGAAAAAGGGAGGAAAGAAAGACAAAGAAGAAGGAAAGGGGAAAAAATGGGGGAGCGAATGACAAGAAGAAAAGAAAAGGGGAAAAGGAGGAGCAAAAGACAAGAAGAATGAAATGGGAAAAGAGAGCGAAAAAGACAAGAAGAGTGAAATGGAAAAAGGGGAGGAAAAAAACAAGAAGAGTGAAAGGGGAAAAAGGGGGAGACAAGCAGAGTGAAATGGGAAAAGGGGGAGCGAAAGACAAGAAGAGTGAAAGGAGAAAAGGGGGAGCGAAAGACAAGAAGAGGAAATGGAAAAAGTGGGAGCGAAAAGACAAGAAGAATGAAATGGGAAAAAGGGGGAGCAAAAGACAAGAAGAGTGAAAGGGGGAAAAAAAGAAGGGGAAGGAAAGACAAGAAGAGTGAAATGGAAAGACAAGAAAGAAATGGAAAGGAAAGACAAGAAGAATGAAAGGGGAAAAGGGGGGAGAAAAAGACAAAAAGAAAAGTGAAAGGGGGGAAAATGGGGAAAGACAAGAAAAAACAAGAAGAAAAAAAGAAAAAAGGAAAAAGGGGAGCGAAATACAATAAAAGAGGAGAATGGGGAAAAGAGGGAAAGGAAAAAAGACAAGAAGAATGAAATGGGAAAAGGGGGAGAGAAAGACAAGAAGAGTGAAATGGGAAAAGAGAGCGAAAGACAAGAAGAGTGAAATGGGAAAAGAGAGAGAAGCGAAAGACAAAAGAGGAAATGGAAAAAGGGGGAGAAAAAGACAAGAAGAAAAGAAAGGGGAAAAGGGGGGAGACAAGCAGAAAAAGAAATGGGAAAAGGGGGGAGCGAAAAGACAAAAATGTGAAAAGGGGAAAAAGGGAGCGAAAGACAAGAAGAGTGAAAGGGGGAAAAGGGAGCGAAAGACAAGAAGAGTGAAAGGGGAAAAAGGGAGCGAAAGACAAGAAGAGTGAAAGGGGAAAAGGGGGAGCGAAATACAAGAAGAATGAATGGAGAAAACGAGACTGAAAGACAAGAACACAACCCACTGCTGTAACATAAACGACTATTTAAAATCACTTGAATCACTTTGATTTCTCATACTAATTTGCATAAAAAAAATCATTTGTTGTACTTAAGTGACCAATGTAGCGTTGCAGCTCAGACCAGTCCGCTGGTTCGTTATCAGGGTGCAGCTTCTTCCAGTCAAACACTTGTGGCTTAAACATAATTCTTTGATCAGATCGTCACCCACGAAATAAAAACATGAGACTATTGTAGTTGTAGGCAAATTTTATTCTGGTTGTAACCTACTGTTGTAGACGAGTGAGGAGAGTTGAAGAGATGTGATGTAATGGGAAATGAACAGTTTAGCCCTGTAACATTACGGCGAGCGGCCTATTAGGTCTCTTTCTCTGCTTTTGGCTGTTAGTGACCACTGTCTTATAGAAACATTCTTTGTTGTGCTGTCATCTTTGTCTAAAAAAAGTAATTTATCAAGATCATTCAGTGACCTTATTTGTCAGGGGCGTTTACCATTAGTTCTTGTGAGGTTCACTTAGCTGATAATCATTAGGACAATAATTGTTTGAAACACTTTTTTACAGCACTGAATTTTCCACTTAACAACATATCGACTGATATTGATATCGCTGCACTAGTGAGTGAGTGTGTGTGCGCACACGGACGTGGTTAACACTTTTCTACGTCAGGAGAGTCCACTACATGGAAAGGGACAATTTTTATGCAGTGATGTATGAGAAATAGAATTTTATATTCTGTTCAACTTGATAGATGAAACTTATGCTATTTGTTTATATTCAGGAAATATTGGACATAAAAATAATATGCACAGAAACAAAAGAATTATGATATTTTAATGAGAAAAATGCAATTCAAACTTACCAAAATGCTACCACCTCTTTTAATAATATGTGTTAGCTGATGATTCACTTTAAAATGATGCTGAACATTATACACTCGAGTCTTTCGATTCTCTGCCCCGAAATATAATATACAATTTGTTCTATATTAGAAACCACGTGATTCTTCTATGGTTAACCGAATATTTTATGTGTTTTTAACGGATAAAATTCATATTGTCGCGTAACAGAAACTTGATTCGCCTTACAGGGCGATAAGACACCTAGATCAGGCGTGTGACGACAGAAAGCTTAGATAGATTTCGCGCCAAATTATGAGAAAAACAAGGCAGCAAAGTCTCATGTGATTATGCGAGAATGTAACCTGAGCAACCGAACCAGTTAATGGCGCTGTTAGGACTAAGAATAAGATACAAAAGGTCTGGACGCATTATTCATGTAATTATTGCTGGTTTGTCTTGAGACTCAATAACAAGAACTACATGGAAGATATGTATGTTTCTCTCAGACAGACTAACAGAATTAAAGACGCGGGGTCTTAGATTTTATTGTAAAACAGAAATAAGTAATCACCTGTGTACAGAAAGAGACAGTGTTTTTGTTCGAAATTCTAAATGAGCAATCTGTTGCGTTCAGCAAAAAACAGCCTGTCGCCTCTGAATTTTCACTTTTATATTTATATACGCTCTATCTCTGATATTGAGCACTTCATTCCACAAATATAGCACACCTGAAAGCTATATTTCTCCATATATATATATATATATATATATATATATATGGATTTTCCAGCATCCCCTTGTATTGAAATGTGCGACAGGCTGTTTCATGCAGGACGCAATCGTGGGAGTCACAGTTTTCCTGAATAAAATTCAAAGATGTTGAAAAAGGATTGAAAGAATTTACTTGGATTCTTTTTATTGGCTAATCACAGACCATTGAAGTAGTTCTCTTTAAGTTTTGATTCTCGTCAGTCTTTCACGTACGAATAAAGACCCAGGGGAGAAGACAAAAAGTGAAATTACAAGAACTAGAAAAAATTATAACGATTACTCATTAAATTAAAATTAAAAATAAATCAACCAGATTTTTATTTTAAATATTACTTGGGCAAAGTTGAAATGATGATAGGAAATTAAACTAAAAAAAATAGAGTTGATGTCAAATCAATTTATACCGACACGGCAAATGTCAGCGGGATAATTCTCCAATTCTAGAAACGAAAAACACTGCTTTTATCGTTGGTGATAAGCCAGTGCCTGGCGTTACTTTGTAGTTAACATCTTTAAAATCTTGTCCTTTAAGATCGATTTCTAAATTACTCTCTTCTGCAAGATTTTTTATTTTGACTTTTTCCAAGCGAAATGGAGGAAAAAGACAACGATATAAATGAAGAAAATATTAAAGTTTATTTTACAAATGTTGAAGCTCCCTGTACGGGCTTCAGGATGTCAATGGACCTTTCTACTTCTGTGTTGCCATTTCCTCCACAGACAATTTATTGTTCATGTACTTATTATGTTATGCTTTTCACCCTCTACCATACCAATGACAAACTGATTGACAATTAAACAGAGCACAGAGAGTTGGATTGGTGTCTTTCTCAAGAATAGTGTAAAAATGATACAGTTTCAACCGGAATTTGAAATCTTTTTTCCGACCCAGTTTCGAAGATAAGGAATTTATGGCTATTTCCTCCTCTTCTGGAAACAGTATTAATATCTGTAATATTTGCCTTAGCCGATTTAACGAGTGCTATACTCTGATCAGACTCAATAACGGTTGCTTCATTTTGATGTAATTGTTAGTCAGCTGATCTCACAGACTATTACAATGAGTAATAAGTTGAGTGACCTTATACCAAAATTAAGTCTTAATTAATCTTAGCTAATAACCGCTTTTACCTCATTACAACCGAATTCAAAACAGTTTTAAAATACTTTATTTTTTAATAAAGAAGACCATGACTCTGAAACGAATACGCATTTCAACGAATAACATATTCATGCACACACCATTTTCAGCAGCCATATTTTCTTTTTTCTCATTGAATCTTTCTCACGCTGATCGTTTTTTCCTATTCTTTTTCCCGTTTGTGATTCTTTCTTTCTTTTTATATGCCATGTCCTTCCAGGACGTAGGCGATCATGGCTCTCCACCTCGCTCTATCCCTTACAGTTCCTTTCCTTTCCTTCCTCCCCCCAGACCACATTCTATCATCCACTTACTTAAGCCCGCCAGGTATGTCACGCGTTGTTTTCTTTTGTCTCTTTTTCCCTCTATTCGACCTGTGAGTATCAGATTGTCCAGGCCCTCCTTCCTCGTTATGTGTCTCAGAAACTTCAGCTGCCTCTTCCTGATGTTAAGTATAAGCCTCCTCCTTGTTTGTATCCTCTCTAAGACCTTATCGTTGCACACACGCTCGGTCCATGATATCCGTAGCATCCTTCTGTAGAACCACATCTCTATCGCCTCGAGTCTCTTCTTCATCTTTGGGGAAATCGTCTAAGATTCGCTGCTGTAAAGAAGGACAGATGCTACGTAACAGCTCAGTATTCTTTTCTTTGTTACCAAAGTAATCCTCCTGTCTTACAATACTTGCTGAGCTTTTGGAATGCATCTTTGGCCATCCCAATATGTCTCGAGATCTCAGTGTCGCACTTACTGTCCTCTGTCAAAACGCTTTCCAGATATCTAAACTTCAGCGTCTGCTTGATTTTAGAGTCCCCGACCTGCAAATCGCATTTCGGGCTCATCTTTTTACTGATGACAATGCATAGTTTTTTTTTTTTTTTTTTTTTTTAGGGGGGGGTTGCATAATTTCGTTATCCTATCCTTCAAGAAGGTTAGACCGGTGACATATTAATAAAAGAATAATGAAATAAATAAAAAAACGAATTGGGTTCAGTCATAAGTAATTACCGTTTTGAGGAATCAGTTCTAATATTTTGAAGAATAAAACGGACATTATTTATGGCTCAACCTAATAAATCGCAGGTTTGAGGCATTCAATAAGCATCGATATCATAATTATTATCGATCTCGCTCGTTGGTCAATCACTTATTTGGTTAATCGTCAAAACTAAACGTGATATTAAGTATATCATATCTAGATCGTTAGTGACATTCAGAAGATGGAGAGTGAAGACGAGGAAATAAAATATAACTACGCCAATGATGCAAGTATTACAGATTTCTTGATATGCGTATATCAATTTTTATCTTAACCAAAAGAGACCACATGAAATAATGACTTTACATGAATGATTTTTATTTTACGGCTTATCAACCTTTCAAGGGTAATTTAAATCCAGAAAAAAATTTTAGATTGTAAATTCTTTTTGAAGATAAAAACGATTTACTGATACAAGTCCTGCTAATTAACCCATAGCAGGGGGGATAAAAGGTGGATTTGTACCTTTCCCATGAACATTTGCACGTAAATGGATATAACGAAGCCGACTGGAATTGGAACTCGGCTCACCGACTACCAATTTCGAGCCGTTATCCATTAAACTGCCCGCACATCTAAGCTTACAGTACCTGGTATTCCAAAATTGGTCACCTGTCCAGTTACTGACCAGGTTCGATGTTGCTTAGCTTTGGTGGTCATACGAGAACCGGTGTTTCAACGTGATATGTCCGTAAGCCTATTTCTTTATATGCAAGGCCTTATCGAATTTCAGTCATGTCAGAGAACTGATGGGTTGTCGAAATGAGTTCGCGAATATTTTCCCAATATCTGTTGTTTTGTTGGGGATTTGTTGTCCTGAATACTCACCATCTATAACTGACACTCGACCGGCCTTGAAAAGTGCGTTCCATTTAAAACCTGTATTCGATTACGAGAATGTTTGCCGCAAGTCTGAAATGACCTCTTGAGGATCTCGGCAGCAGATTCCTAGAGCTCCACGCAAACCTTGATGCAGAAACGTTGGTAGAATTTATCAGCCATCGTAAAGATCACAGAGCCGTTCTAAAACATTAACAAAACCTCGCATAATAACTTAACATTAGTAGACAACACGAGACCTATCGGTAGACTGACTCACTTGACTGGGTAACAATGAGAGTTACTACATAGGTCTTGTAGACTCCCTGAGGTGATGGGAGCCACAGTTATCAAGTCCCTTACTCCCTGCGTTCTCACAGCTTTCGGCATGCTAAGCCTTTCTGC